TGCACCCAAAATCTGTAGCTGCCTTTGCCCTCCAGAAGGAGGAGAAGAAACAGTCAACAAGGAAAGAAGTTGCTTCTTTGATACCAGGTATACAAGGGCAAATGGGCAGTTCCTCAGCCAATAGCTTATTGCACGGCACTTACAAGAATGAGAACAGAAAGGAATGGAAAAGAATGGGGCAGAAACGCAGGTTACTGGACAGGAGAATGCCACCAATGCCGCCAGGAGTCCCCAAGGCATTTCCCAGCCATTCCTGGCAACCGATTTTTGAAGGACGGTTTAAAATTGTCCTTCAAAAATCCGCTGCCAGGAACGGCTGGGGAACACCTTGGGGACTTCTGGCGGCATTGGTGGTGTTCTCCCATCCAGTAACATGCGTTTTTTGCCCTGTTCCATTCCATTCCGTTCTGTTCCTTTCCGTTCCCGTTTCTTAAGTGCCATGCAATAAGCTTAAGTGTCAAAAGGAAAAGACTGAAGAGGGAGCTGCAGCTGCCATGGTATACTGAGAGTAACAGCAAAATTGCACAAGGAGGTACAGGCTACCTTCTTCTGCAATGGCCTTAAACTGTCATAATCAGTGTTTATTCCAGAAACAAGCTACCTACTGGATTCCTGCCACAACATGATACATACAGAAATCTATTTTAGGTACAACGCTCTTGCAAATAATAGTTACACATCCTGCTTGTGTAGTGCAAATCTACACTCACATATTTACACAGTCACTGCAGATCTCATTTTTAATTTCAAGCTTGCCTAAACAGAGAGCCATCAGCAACGCTTTCCCAAAATATGATCAAATTGAATAAATAGAAAACAACTTCAATTTAACAACTTGTATTACGGGTATTCACTCATGCTCCAAAGTGCTGAGAAATTGCATTGCTCAGGGTCACACACATAACAGACTTCAAAACAGAGGTGATGCTGGAGAAGCCAACCACAGCATAGAGTAGGATAACTTATGCCTATTTCCTAATGAAGTGTCTGCTATGGGATGTGGCCCTTAGCAGTTCCAAGTTCATACATTTTATAACTGGAAAATACTTAATGCTGGCTAAGATCCTACATTGGATTATAAATCTGCATACTCTCCTTCAGCAGCTATTAGACCCAGAAGGGACTACTGCTGCTTACTGATAAGAAAAGGAGAAGAGATGATTCAGACCATGAAGAAGTAGGTGGACCTGGGGTGGTGAAGCGGAGATGAGGGCACACTCATGGACAGAGTGGATCCTTTTCTTCCTTCCCCCATGAGCCCAGAGCAGTCATATCTTCATGGTCTGAATTGCTTCCCCCACTTCCTTTCACACTGTTAAGAAGAAGCAGCCCTTTCTGAGACTTAACAGTTGCCTGGGAGTAGGTTTTGGTCAGGCTGACCAGATGTCATAAGTGCAAGGGAGGACAAGGCACCGTGAAGTGTAGGACATTCAAGAAAAATACAAAATACAAGCTAAAACATTAATATAAATATAAATTCATGCTTCTTAGTCATGCTCAAAATGGAGGACATTTTGGAAATCTTCCTGGACAGAAGTTTGAAATGGAGGACATGTCCTGGAAAAAGAGGATGTCTGGTCACTATAGTTTTGGGATGGAATATTAGAACAGTAGTTCTTTTTATTGCCCCCTGGTGGTACACAGTCATTGTACAAGATTATTACATTTCTTTTCCAACTAACATAGCATGTTAAACAGAGAGGTTTCATTTATATATATATATATATATGATTATATTAAAATATGGTTATATAAAAATATAGTTTTTTTAAAAAATAAATAAATTGTGGCCAGTCTTCCACTTCATAGAAGCATAAATATCCTATCTTTTCCCCAAAACATTGTATTCTCTTATGTTGGGAGTGGTGGTGCTGTGAGGAAATGTGCCACATTTTATTCGCTTCATATTTTATCATTTCTGGACAAAAGAGTCTCCCTTTACTAAAAGGCTTTTCACATCAATTTGTTCAGCAACTTGATCTGTTCAGTAAGCTGTGACCTTTGGCATTTTTTGTCAGCTCCTCCATCGATATCATATTGGCGTGAGCCCAAACCATAACTGAAGCCTCTAATAGAACAGGAATTCAGGATACATGGTGAATTAGCACTACATTTGTAATCCATGTTCAAGGACATGCTACCCACACCTCAGAACTCCACACTATTAAGTCAGAACACATCTGATGGAAAGAAGGAGATTCAAGTGAGAAATGACTGGTTCATCTCTTGAGAAAATCTTTAAAGAGCTGCAGGGATGTCTCTCCTTTTTATTATATGCATTTATAGATTTATATAATACTTGGAAGAATTGATATAAGAGAGAAAAGTATGGATTCCTCATTAAAAAAAATCTCTCTTTTTTGTTGGCTCTATTACAAAAAATGGCAACCAGCTGATAAAATAGTGGATTTTTTTTTCATTCTATCCAGCCACCCATGATCTATGCAGGTATAAAATATATGAAGCAGCTTTCCTTAAAAATAAAATAAAATAAAAACAGGGAAATTAGTATGAGTTGTTCTTTTTTTAACCATGTTTTTAGGATCAGTTCAAATTGGTTTTCCACTATGATGTTTTCAGTACTGTTGCCAACCAGTTCTGGATGGGGTTACACTCCTCCTGAATGATCATTTTAATAGCTTGGGAATGCTCCTGGATCCATCTATCCAGTGTCAGCCTAGAGATATGCAATGGCCAGGGGTGCTTATTATCAGCTTCCGCTGATTCTCCAGATGCAGCCCTTCCTAGAACTGGAAGGCCTAAAGTTTGTAGCGCAAGTGCTGGTAACCTCAAAGCTGGACTTTTGTAATGTGTCTTACATTGGGCTACCTTTGTACCAAGTTTGGAAACTTCAATTAGTTCAAAACATGGCAGCCAGAATGATTGCTGTTACATCTAAGAGTGTACATATCATAAAAAGGTAAAGGTTTCCCTTTGACAAGGTTGTCATGTCCAACTTTAGGGGGAGGTGCTTATCTCTGTTACTAAGCCGAGGGAACCAGCGTTGTGAAAGACGACTCCATGGTCATCTGGCCAGCATGATTGCACAGAACGGTGTTTACCTTCCCACCGAAGTGGTACCTATTTATCTACTTGCATTTGCATGCTTTCGAACTGCTAGATTGGCAGAAGCTGGGACTAGCGACAGGAGCTCACTCCATCACACAGCACTTGGGTCTCAAACTGCCAATCTGCTGATCTTACAATCATCAGAGTCAGCATCTTAACCATTAAGCTATTGCATTCCTCCCGAACATATCATACCAATATGAAAATCACTCTACAGGCTGCCAGTTTCCTGGCAAAATACAAATTGTTGGTTATTACCTTTAAAGTCCTACATGGTTTGGTTCCAGGTTACCTATAGGATCACCTACTCCTGTATAATCTGTCCCATACACTCAGGTCCTCTGAGGGACATTTATCTCAACTGGCCAGAACTAGACCGGCAATGAGTAGGAAGAAAATCATAGAATCATAGTGTCACTTCTCAGCAGACTCAGAGCTCTGTGTAGCCAGTAAACCAGCCCATTGTTGCAATTAGGAGTTTATTGAAGAACACAAAGCCAGTAATCCACTAGACCACGTTCTAACTAATTGCTCCACCCCTCCTTCCATGGCGCGAAAACTAGCACCCACCTACAGTTCCCACAGCTAACCATTCCTCCATCTAACCAACCCCCCACCTTATCAGCTTACACTCACACCAGCCATCTTATTCCCAGCCCCTGTTGTCTCCAAGCTGTACCAACCTCCTCCTACCAGCTATGCATTCCAAGAGGCCTACTTTCCCAAAACAAACCTCTGTCTCATCACCTCCCATCCCCCCAGAAACTCACAGCCCGTTATGCCTGGAACCTATATTATTTGCTACCAGCCTAACCCTACTACTAGCCCAACCACTATCCCCACCAAACTACCAACCCAACCAAAACCTGGCAGAACATATGCACATAGGCATAGTTCTGACACATAGTTCTGACACATAGAATCATAGAATTGGAAGAGACCTCAAAGGCCATCCACTCCAACCCCCTGCCATGCAGGAACTCAGAATCAAAGCATCCCTGACAGATGGCCATCCTGCCTCTGTTTAAAGACCTCCAAAGAAGGAGACTCCACCACACTCTGAGGGAGTGTGTTCCACTCTTGAACAGCTCTCACTGTCAGGAAGTTCCTCCTAATGTTGAGGTGGAATCTCTTTTCCTGCAGCTTACATTTTCCGTAACATGAGAACATTTTCATTGGATGTCCCTAGACTGTGGAATGACCTCCTGGGAGAGATTTATCAGCTAAACATGTTGTCTGATGTTAAAACATAATTAAAGACCTATCTCTTTTGGCAGACCTAAAAATTTAAACTATGAATTTTAAATTGATATATATTTAATTTATTTTGGATGATTTTAATGTATTTATATGTTTTAATGTAATGTGTTTAACAGGCTTTATGTGTGTTTAATCTATTGAACCCTGCTTTGAGCTTTGGAGAGAAGCAAATAAGAAATAATAACAACAAAAGTAACTACTACTACTACTACTACTACTAGTGGCCCATTTAAGTAGCTCTGGGGACTGTTATGTGTCTGTTCCAACCCCCTGCCATGCAGGAACTCTCAATCAAAGCATCCATAACAGATGGCCATCCAGCCTCTGTTAAAAGACCTCCAAAGAAGGAGACTCCAGCATACTCTACAAGAGTGTGTTCCAATGTCGAAAAGCTCTTACTGTCAGGAATCTCCTAATGTTGAGGTGGAATCTCTTTTTCTGTAGCTTGTATCCGTTATTCTGGGTCCTATTCTCTGGAGCAGCAGAAAACAAGTGAGCTCCCTCCTCAATATGACATCCCTTCAAGGGCTATCATATCACCTCTTAACCGTCTCTTCCCCAAGCTGAACATACCCAGCTCCGTAAGTAGTCACAGCTCACTTTTTTCCTCACAGTAGTTGGATGGTGAGTTCAGTGGTAGTAACTCTTAATGACACAGTAAATGGGTAAGAGCCAGCATGGTGTAGTGGTTTAAGTATTGGACTATGACTCTAGAGGCCAGGGTTCAAATCCTGGCACAGCCATGGAAATCCGTTGGGTGTCCTTGGGCAAGTCACACTCTCTCAACCTCAAAGGAGGCAATGGCAACCCTCTCTCTGAAGAAACCTGCCAAGAAAACCCCATGGCCTTAGAGTCATCATAAGTCGGAAACTAGTTGAAGGCACACAACAACAAAATGGGTATTAGAGATGTAATTCTTCATTAATTGTATTATCAAAGGAAGCAGTAAGTGATTTTAGCCATTTTCTTCACATAGCAAGAAAGTCTTCATAACTGTGCAATTTTTGCAACTGGGATTTCTTCTATGCAAATGTCACACATGGGGGAGGGAGGGCAGAAAATAGCATTTTCTGTGCAAAACAACCATGTGTGAATTTATGCAGAATAAACTGTGAAGGTTCTTTTCCTTCCAGGAATCTTATCATCAAGGTTTCTTAACACTCAGGGAAAATGTTTTTAGACCATATTTTGGATATTTTCAAATATTTTTTTCATCCCTACTGGGCATGGGATTGCAGCCTAAGATCCAACTGTGGATACCATAGAAGTAAAGGTAAAGGTATTCCCCATTGACAAGGTTATCAAGTCATGTCCAACCATAGGGGGTGGTGCTCATCTCCATTACTAAGCCGAAGAGCCGGTGTTGTCAGAGACTACTCTGTGATCATGTGGTCAGCATGATTGCACAGAATGCTGTTTACCTTCCCACAGAAATGGTACCTATTTATCTATTTGTATTTGCATGCTTTTGAACTGCTAGGTTGGCAGAAGCTGGGACTAGTGACGGGAGCTCACCCCATCATGCAGCACCAGGGCCTCGAACTGCCAACCTGCTGATCTTGCAATCAAGAAGTACCATAGACGTAGCAACAGCTAAATGCCAACCCCCTTTTGAAATCAGTTGGCAGCATTCTCTTTAACATCTAAAACAGTGGTATCCAAACTTAGGGCCCAGACATTGGATTTCACATTACAGAAAACACTATCAGCATTGCTAATGGTCAGGCATTTGCAGGATGTAGTTCAATGATATCTAGGACCCTTAATCTAAGAACCACTGACATAGTCAAATACTTGCCTCTCTTGCTGTATGAATTATTAACTTCCAGCCCTTGCTTGACACCTTTATTGTTTATAAGCAAGCACTGACACCTTTAATGTTTAAGAGCAAAGGACTGCATTTCTGTAATAGGAAAATTGGCAGCTGCAGAGCCAGCAGCTTGTTTTTTATTTGCCTTAGAGAGGTGGCTAAAAGCAGTTTAGTAGTTGAAGAAATTTATCCAAACTATGTAAAATGTGTAAAAAGAAAAAGAAAATGTGTAGCCACCTTGAGTCCCAATTTTGGGGCAAAAGTGGGATAGAAATAAAAGGGAATAGGAAGAGGAGAGAGGTTTAAAAACTCAAAAGTATATGAATAACTGATACAGCTCTATCTTATTACAACTCTTTTTCTCAAGAACGATTAAGGATGCAGTCTTATTCCAATCTTGTTCCAATCACTACTACTTACCTGGGAGTAAGCCTCATTGAACTCAACAAGGTTGAGTAGAGATTATATGAATGTATAGTGAGGGATCAGATACAAATGACTTAGTGTGAAATATATGAAGATGTTGAAAGGCTGTGAGTATTTAGCAGTGCTCTTAAGTCAGTTTCATCTTGGCAACTTGCAAAAGAAAGGAAGGGCATTAAAGCAGGACTAAACTTAGCAAAGCTTTAGAAAACATTCAAAATGCTTGATGAAAACTTTAAAAAATCCACAAATACCTTTCCATTTCAATATTACAGTAGGCTTTACATACAATTTATTTTATTTGCATTTATAAATGCATAGAAATGTCATTCATGTCCTAGACACATTAATTCTCTCCCCCCCACACTCCTGTAACTTTCTTAATTGGAATAAAGTATGTTGCTCCTGATTTATGAACTTCAGGAGTGCCAGGCATCACTTTAAATGTACACAGCTGCTCAGCACTAGTTTAACTTGGCAGATAGTGTTAAACCATTGAATTGTGTCATTTATTTGTGTATGCATACAATGCATTCCTTGTGCAGGTTGTTCAGCAATGTGTGCACTGTAGATTCGGAAATGTGGCCTAGAAACAAGCTCAGAAGCTTGACTCATGGCTTGGGTGATTGTTTCCAAACGGAATGTCAAATAGATGAAGAACCAGACTCCTTGATGAAGCCCTAAACTCAAGTCATCAATATAGGGAATTGGAATTGGTCAGAAATAACCAAGAACAGCTTTGATGTACTCCAAATGTGTTGGAATACAGCTCCCATAATCTTTAGGGCAGGGGAAGGCAACCTTTTTAAGACCTGGGCCGGTCTCCCCTAGGCCAGGTCTCGGCTGGGCCGAGGGGGGGGGAATGGCAGTGCGCATACTCGCGCGTGCGCTACCTCCACCGCCATGCACGACCCCCCCATGCACACTTCTGCTGCAGCCACCGCCCCGGCGGCTGCCGCCGCAGCACATGTCACAGCCGCCATTTTGGAAATCAAAATGGTGGCCGTGACGCATTTGCGCATGCGCAAGAGTACGCAGCTGCAGAGCGGCAAAAACGCACCACAGCAGCGGTGCACGGCAGTGGCGGCAACCTTCGGCCTGGGCCGGTAAGTCCAGGGACTGGGGCCTTAACCGGCCCCTGGGCCGTAGGTTGCCGGTCCCTGCTTTAGGGTCATTTAACACTGCCTGTAACACAACAATGATGAAAATTGTAATCCTACAGATCTGGAAGGCACCAAATCTTGGGAAAGGCTGTTCTTAATGGTGAAAAAAATAAAAAATTGAAATTGGCCTGACATTCACACTGATCAGACAAACTGTATACACCCCCCCCCTCCCTCATCTCTTACATACACACAGTTGCATGTAGAAGCTATTTCTGGACATAGAAGCAATAGAAAACTAGCACACATACAAGCCTAGTACACAAAGGGCAGAATTCTATTGGGGCATTGGGAAAGGAGATATTTCCTTTGGGAACACCCCCATGCAAGTAGTTTCTTATTGCTGGTGCATGTCCCCCTGGTCCTTTCATGATCAAGGTGGGGCAGGGGAATCTGAACATCATCCTTCTGGAGTTCTGCATCCAGCAACAAAATGCAGAAGGCATCAGGAATGCAGAGGATGGAGGATAATGTTTATTCTCTTCTCCCTGTGACACAGCTATAGTTGGATACTACCTTCTGGGTGAAGTCTACTTACTTCTTCTAGCTGTAGAACTGCTGTCAGATACTGCCTGAAAGTCTCCCCTCCCCAGACACTCAATGGCCATGAGGGTTTGTATGATAGCATTGAGAAGCTGCCTATGCAGAGGACAGAAGAGAAGCCTGGTAGAATTATGTTCATTATGCATCACAAGCATGATGTAAGATTGTGATTATCATGACTTGACTTATCTGAGTGTATTAACTTAAGATATGCAAGAATTCTGTGTCTACATATTCCATCCTCTTGTTTCCCCTTCTCATTTCTCTCTGGGCTGCAAACCAACATTTCCTCATTAGGTTCAAACTGTAAAACTTTCATTACCAAGCATGAAACAAGCCAGATTTTAAAACCGGCTTCAAACAGTGGTGTCAGATCCTGGCACATGATTACTTATTTATTTCTACTGTTATATTTTTACTACTAGAGATGTTTTTGGAATGATCTGTCTCATTTGCCAAAATAACTTGGCTGGATTTGAGTACTGTGTGTCATGCTTTGAGATGGGCAGGATGCCATTTATTCCTTTGTTTCATGAAGCAAAATATCTTGGGATGGCTCTGGATGTAAGGTGCTAGAAAGGGTCTGGTGTGCCCAAAATGTAAGCTATCTTGAGGTGCAAGGGAAAGGGGGAACCCCTGAAGGAAGAGGTTATGTACAGTTAAAATAAGAAAATATCCCCCCCCCCCCAAGACATACGCAGCTGCATGTAATGTGTAGCTTAGCCTTTAGAGAGCCTTGCAGGTGGATTTAAAGACTGATTGATAGACATTGCCTCTAATGATCATAGCAGAATGTCTGCAACAGATGATTACAACTGCAGACCTTCTCTAAAGCTGAATTTATACCTCACTGTTGGCAGCAGTACTAACTTTCACTATTACTTTCCCCTTTTCCAAATAGATCTCAGCTGTCTGACACAGAACTTAGCCCTCAGCCAAAAAAAAGTCAAGCAGAGGCCCAAAAACTGAGTAAATAGCACTCCAAAAAAGGCAGAATCAATAACGAGCAAGATGTATACAGTGATCAAACAGATTAAACGTGGAAAATAGAATTAAGTCCAGTTTAAAGAGGATAAATGCAAAAGGTAACTAAACTGAAAACCAGTTCTCCTGCAAAGACAAGATATTCCAATTAGAACAGACCTATAGAAAATAAAATTTATTTCACATGTGCCACTAAAACGACTCTCTCCTGGTGTGTGTGAAATGCAGTGAAATGTACTCCTAACAAGTTTTGAAATACATTCATAGACATGCAGGAACACAGATTTCCCATTTCTTCTCCTTTCAACATAATTGCAATTTTCATGTCAAATGTGAAGTGCATTTGTTATGGTCTGAAGTACACCATTAGTTCTCCACCCACGTATTCCCATAAAGTTGTACATGTTCAGGAACAGCTGAGGATTTCCACCCACATGTCTTTCCTATGTAGAGACTTTTGTCAGTTTCCCTGAGGCATATGTTCTTTACTACCTCCCTCCATTACTCATGAAAATCACTGAAAAGATGCTTGAGAATTTTCTCCTGCCCATCTGTTTCCCAAGGTTCTATTTCTGCTGCAGTTGTATACCGGTATCTCTTTCTGTGTATGCATGTTTGTTTTTTCTAAAAAAAATTAAAACAGGACTGTAGTGGTGAATTTTGAAGAATCCTTGTACATCATCATAGTCTGCATAGCTGGATCTCAAGGAAAATCTATAAACATGCAGGTGGCTATCCTGATTTATTGTTTCTGTACGCCTTCAAGTCATTTCCAACTTATGGCAACCCTAAGGCAAACCTATCATGGGGTTTTCTTGGC